TAGCTACCTTTTAGTCCCAGTATGAGGATGTCATTCAACTTGTAGTCCCCAGACAAAGCTAATCTCTACTACTAGAAGCCATTTGGTGCATAAATAGACTCTGAAACCAATAACCAACTGCTACTTTGGGCAGAAATGAAGACTTTCTAACTTAAGTATGCCCACGTCCTATGGACAAGTTCATTTATTTTTTGTCAGTGTGCATTTTCATAATAAGATGAGCTTGGTTCATGTGATGCAAGCTCTCAACTGTTTATTTATCCAAGGGTTCTCCATCCTTCAAGATGAAACCAAATTATTTTTGGGGCAAAGCAGGAAACCCAGGACTTGTTAATGAGCAGAAGGCCAGGTCAGTAGGGGAGTGAGCGCAGCCAAAAGAACAGGGTTTAGCCATCCCCATTTATGGGGAGTCATCAGATCAACAACAGGGCGGGGCCTTGTCTGTGCCAAGCTGGGAGGATCAGCTAGCCGAGGAATATCACTCCTACCAGCAGCTGTACCTACCCCGCCAGCAGCAGCCATTGGTGGGAAGACTGCTTTGTTTATTGCTTAATCTATCACTATTGAGCTGCCTGCCTCAGGGAGGCTCAATTTAAGATAGATTGAAAGGTAGTGTCTGTCAATTGAATAAACACAGATGGTTTTCCACAGCAAAAATTGATTTTTTTTTCCTCGCCAAAGATATAAATGCTAAATGTGATTATCTTTGGAAGCCAGGCGTGAAATGTCTTAGCTCCAAGCCTCTGCCACACTCCATCCTAGCAGAGAGCTGATACGACGTGAGAGTGTGGGTCTCTCTCACTGTGATTTTGATTGTTGAGGGGAAATAAACATTTGACTTCCCTAAAGAAGGGCCCAGCTAAGTCAATCCATTGAGGTTTGAGTCAATCCATCAGTTGATTCACACAATAGCTTTACTAGTTCTAGATCACTGGCTGGCAAAGGCCTCCTCCAACCCTTTCATTCAAGAGTGTCAAAGAAGTGATATGATTTGCCTAAGGACACACAGCTAGACCTAAACTTCAATCTCCTCACCCTTTATTTGGAAGCTAGGGAGAGACCAGACACAATCCATGCCATGATGGTAACTGAAGGAAACATTAAGATAAGTGCTATCTCTAAAATGTCTTTAGAAGCAGGTAGATCAGAGATGCTTGAACAAATCATGCTAGGTAGGTACCCAGAATGCTGTATACCAGCGGTTCTCAACCTGTGGGTCATGACCCCTTTGGGGGTCGAACGACCCTTTCACAGGGGTTGCCTAAGACCATCAGAAAACAAAAAGATATTTACATTACGATTCATAACAGTAGCAAAATTACAGTTATAGAGTAGCAACGAAAATNCATCTAATACAATAGGAGATCAGAGTGTCTGCAGTTTGATTATTGCTGTGGACCTACATCACATTCTCCAAACAGCTTTATCAGATATAGAAGCAATTAATTTTATTGTTGTCTGTCTGATCTCTTTGTCTAGCTCTCTGTTCCCACCTCAGGTAGGGAAGAGAAGGCTAGTATTTATCGGACATCACTAGCACTCCAGAACAACACCGTAGTTCTGCTTTGGTCTACCTGGGTTTGCTTTCCACCCACAATTTGTAATAGTTCACTTTAAACAATTAGAGAAAACATAAAAATTTCAAAGGAACTTCTGTTTTCTTCTGGCATTTCCTCTAGTCACTAGTCCTTTAAAACATTTATATTCCTAGTTTAGAACGCAGGCAAGGAATTAATATCTTTAATTAAAGGTATGTAAAAAATCTTCAGCCAGAGATGTATATATATGACTAAAGATATCTCTAGTAAGTTGATTAGAGATAAAGTGGTAATCATGACTTCTATCTGCATTTCCTGGCAGATAGCAGTCATAACTACCATTAACTCTCCAAGTGAAGGTGATTCACTCATGCATGAGTCAGACACCAGAGTGAAGTCTTACCTCCTTCTCTCTTGGGAATCTTGTATTCCTAAATGCAAAATGCCATAGGAACTACTGAGCTACTGTTTCAAATTCACAAGTTTTAAAGCATAAAAGATAATATAGAACCATTTTTTATAATTTTGCCAGAAAAATGATTTGAATCTAAGCCTAATTAAGCCTCTAGATCTACGTACCTGTTTTCAGGAAAAGTGAGGATAGAAGAACTTGCTAAATGATGCCGTGAAGATACAAATCCTGAATTGGAATATTCTACAGAAATAATGACTTCATTTTTTTTCAACAAATATTTGGCATACAAAAGCAGGGAGAATGGCTAAGGACCAACTGAGATGTGTAACACATATCAATCAAGTGCAACATATATACTCCTTTTGGATTTTGATTCAAACTAAACAACCATAAAAATATTTTTGAGACCGCTGAGGAAAATCAAACATAGATTTAGTACTGGTGATATATCAAATAGTCATTTTTTAATGTATTGGGTGTGATAATGTATTGTCGTTGTGTTTTTAAAAGGCTTTATTTATTAAAAACCTACCCTAAAATATTTACCAATGAAGTAATATAACATCTATGATTTGTTTTTAAATATTCAAACATATTCATATATCACTTGTGTAATTAAAAAATAAATTTAAATGCAATACAAATAATTTTTTGTTAAGGAATATTCCTAAAATATCAAAGAAATTAAAGAAGCCCCATTTACTAAGCTCTTGTCTTGTGTCAAGCATAGACTAGCATCTACATTATCTCACATATATTCCAGACAAGTCCAACAGGTAGGTGCTAATATCTCCATTCTACGAGTGACAAACTGAAGCTCAGTTTCAGAGGTGATGGAGTCATTATTCAATTTATGACCAACTCTTTTCAGGATACTACGGCTCTTTCAGAAGAAAGCTTTGAGTAAATCCTTCCTGCAGGCAGAGAAACAGACCAGATGTTTCCCAACTGTGTATGGAACATACCAAATATTCCCCGGAAGCCTAATGGTTCTATAGAGCATGAAACATATCCGTCAATTTGTTCTTCCAGTTTAGACTGCTCTACCTGGAACTCCCAATGCAGGAAGACACCACTGGATGATTCTTGTTTCCTAGTGATGGCTGGTTAGAGTGGAGTGGATACTTAATCTAACCCAGCCAATGAACTGCCTGGCCAGCTACTAAAGAGTCTCTCTTTCTCTTAAGCATTTAAACTGAAAAACAAAGAGGATATAGTTAGTCAATGATAGATGCTGGAAATAAAAGATTTTGATGTTGANGGTGAATAGCAAGAGTATCCTTTATATAATGAGGAGATTGAGCAATGTGGTTTGTTATGTCTCTTTCAGCTCTAATTCCAAAACATAACAAGCTAATGGGACATCATTCATACAAATTATTCCAAGGAGCCCCCGGAAGTGATAGAATGGCCTATCTCCTTCCATTCCGCAAATGTGAACATGAGTGTGGAATGGTGGTTAAAGGATTTGTCAAGAGGAGTTGTTGCAAAGATAGCAGAAGTGGGGCAACTGTGAGCAGGTGTGCTCCATCAGTGCTTTAGAATGAGAAACAATGACGAGACTCAGAGGGTTTTAGCAATAGAAGGGACCTTAGCACTGACCTCTCAGTGTAGAGATGAAAACATGAGTCTAGAGAAGGGAAATTGATAGCCAAGCTCCTATAGCTAGAGACAGAGTTGGAATGTTAAGCTAAAAATCTTGGTTCTTTCAGCTACACTCCCTGTCTTGCTTTTCAAACTGTCTAATGTAGTTGTAGACTATGGGGAAAGCAGGTGTGTCCAGTACATAAGTGCATGCAGCAGACAGACATGAAGTGGTTTCTCTCCAGCTAGTACAACTGTGAACACAGATCTTTACAACTGTCTCGGTCCTAACTTCTAAAGCTCTGCAGACAGGGAGTGCTTCCTTCTATCAAGAGACAAAAATCTTTGCATATGTGCCATGTGGAAAAGAGAGTTGACTGTTCTATCTCACCTGGATAGAGAAAACCAGAACTAAAATGGTCTTAGGATGTAAGAGATACACATTAGGGCACATTTGCAGAATTTGGATTTATTTGAAAGTGAGTTAACATGTTTGCAATCTGTCCAATTGGTCTGTCCTTGAGTTGAAAACAAAAACAAAAACTTGATTCAGGTTTCTAACGTAAGATAGTCGAATCCTTTTACTCACTTAGAAAAAGAAAATTGTTTAAGTCCAGTATTTTTCTGCACATGGGTTGTTTTGTAAATACTCTTAAGTAGAAACAGAATATATCTGTAGCTGTTTTTCAATTAGTTCTTAACGCTAAGCCTCCCATATCTTTGTTATACATATTCAGAGAGAAATACATATCCGTGAAATTGTATTCATTTCCTCCCACAGACTTTTGGTGAAGCATGCGTTAAATGTAAACGTGTTTCTATTTTCACTCAGATATGATCCTTTTTTTCTCCTGTGAAACTACTGTTTCAATATAGCAGATGACAGCCAAATCTAAGTAAGTGCATTTGACTAAAAACCTGTATACCGAAGATGAATACTATAGTTTATGCACTTATAATGTTCATGTGATGAATTGATAGCATGATCAATTTTCTCCCTAAGGATTTCTCTTCTATGGTAGAAGCTGATTACAATTGGATAACAGCAAAAAAGTATCTCCGTTGAGTTAGAATTCAGAATGTGAGATATTACTCCACACACCCAGTCACATGGATCTTTATATATGCGTCTATGTGTTTGGTTGTAGTTTTGCCTTAAAATGATGTCTCAAGTGTTTTTCCCATGTCCTCAACAATGTATTTGAAAAACAATCAATGCTTGGCTTTATTTTAAAGTGGCTGCCAGTGTTATCAATTTGGGGACTATCTTTCATATATGGAACTCTTTCATAGGGTTGAATTTTCATATCGAGTGTCAAAAAAGTTTCTTGGTTTGTGATTATAAATATTCCCGAAAATAACCCAAATCCTATTTTTAAAGCACTAGCTTCTGCTTAAAGAAATGACAAGGTGAAGTCTTTCACAAAGTGGACATCCGATGTATTAATATAAATTTTCTGCTGTATAAATCTGGTTGTTCACATAGTTTCTAGGACTTCATTGGCCACACCTGTATATCAGGGCTTGATGCTTAAAATCATAATTTTCTATTTGGTCCTTTTTCTAAAAAAGGGCAAGTTTGCTCTACATCAGAAGAAGCATTCACAAGTTGAAATGGAAAATGTAAGCCTTGATGGGCCTTTCAAGCATAGTAGTGATCCATTTGGGCCTCTCCTCAACCTGCCTTCCCCCTTTATGAGCCTTCCAAGGGGTCTTCAGGGGGCACATAGACAACAACAGATGTGAGGGTCCCTTACCAGCCACAAAGCAACACCAGGGGGCCCTAAGGGGGCAGGGTCAAGGGTCGATCTAGACATACCCCTCATGACAGATGTTCCTGTTGATGAGACTGAAGGTGGCTGCGGAGGGGTTGGTACTCTTGAAGGAGGTCATGCACGTGGTGCTTCTGCCGGCGCTGTGAGAGCGGGTCATCAGGCCAGGCCGGCAACAGAGGAGCTGGGTGTTGAACTGCTTCCTGAAACTCTTGCTCAGCAGGTAGAGGGCAAAAGGGTTGACACAGGAATTGGTGAAGGCCAGGAGGCGGGCACAGATGCTGGTGACGAAGTGGAGCATGGAGGTGTCCACCTGGGAGTAGTGGTAGGAGCGGTACAGGTAGATGACGTGATTGGGGAGCCAGCAGAAGGCAAAGAGGGCCACGAACACCAGCACTGTCTTGGCGAGGCGCTTCCGGGATTCTATCTGAGGAGGGAGTCGCACATAGAGAAAGAGGGATCAGGGGACATATGGGAGGATTGCAAAGAGACAAAGATTCAGGGAAAAGGAATTAGGAAAAGAGATGAGCTCACAGAGCCACAGAAAAAGAATTCAATAGGAGAGAGGACAAAAGCGAATCAAAGAAAAGCAACAGAAATGGACAGAAAAAGGAAAAAAGTCAGAAACACAGAAACGGAAAAGCCAGGAAGCAGAAATCCATGAGGGAGAATACAGTTAGACTGTGCAACTGAGAACAGATCTTTAAACAAAGTTGCAAAGTTGATTACATGCTTGAATGCTTTACACACTGAAATTCTAGTAAGTGCCTCTTTTCTTCTGGGAGGACGTTGGTGCAGCTTACCAGGCACATGACTTCATGTCTTTCTTGGCTCCACAGTTAATAAGTTCTTATTCCCTCTGATGCTCAAAAAAAGCAGCCAGCTTTGTTCTTTCTCATTGTCCAAACCAAGAAAACTTGCTATTATTGCTGTTATTATTGTAAATCTCAAGTTATCTCTGGACTATATATACTATACAGGAAGGTTCTTTGACGACCTGGGCTGAGCATCTCGTTTGGCTGCCAACTCCCTCTGTTACTGCAAGGGGAAGCACTTTCTCATTAAAGAATCTGAGATACAGTGGACATTCACTATTGAGAGGTCTTTCAAGGGGGGAGACAGTTTCACTGAGAACTGCTACTCTTCCCTCACAATGGAGGCCAAAAAAAAGAACTTTATAGGGTGAAGCCTACAACTGGCTCAGCCATACATTGAAATGGATGGGGAGTCTTTCTATTTGCCCATCATTAATACCACACGATCTGTGTTTGGACTAGAAAGCAAAGAGGACAAAGCCAGAGCCCCTGGTTTCTACCTCAAGGATGAAATTATGGGAGGCTACAGGGGATGATGAACAGAGTCTAACACATATGGAGGGCATCCTGCATTATGGGCAATCTAGAGCGTACATATGCTCTCTTGTAATCCTCCAACAGCCTTATCATATAGAGGCTATTTCCCTATATCATGGATAAGGGAATGGAGGCTGAGCGGGGGTAAGTCATGAAGCCTGGATTCGAACCTAAATGAATGTGAGCTTATCTTAATCAAATTACTTCTTTTTCTTTAACGAGCCTCATTTTCCTGCTCCCTCTGCTTTGTCCCCATGTGGCAATCCTCTTCCTATCCAAACAATGTGATTGGAATTTAAAGAAGTCACATCCCTCTGAGTCTCAACATTTTATGTTTTTAAACAACAACACTTCTTCAGCTAGTTCTCAGAAAGAAACTCATATTCCAAATCCTTCAGGTCCTCCCTAGCTTAGGTTCTTAGTAAGAGGACAAGATTACAAAGAACACCTAAATACCTGGGATCCCATGGCTAGGAGTTTCCGTTTACCATCTGGATGCAGATCACCTACCTCTTCTAATTACAGAATCAGAATTACAGAATTATTAACCATCTAAATACTGTACTTGTCAGTGGAGTCCCAAAGAAATGCAAGGGATCAAATCCCCAAGGAAGAAGCGAAACAATGCTAAGTACCCACCTGCTTCTTGACGTGTATGTTCCCTTCAACAGGCAGGTTGTAAGCACTCTGGATCAGGTTTCTGGCAATGAAGTAGTAGTAGACAGAGATGATGGACAGTGGGATGATGTAGAATATCAAGAAGGAAGCCATGGAGTGGATTTTGGGGTGCAGCTCATTGGAGTGTGGGTATGGGGCACAGCTAATGAAGGTCTGATTGGTGCTTTCCTCATGGAAAGGATGTAGATCAGAAAACACAGCTTCTGGGATGGCCAGGAGCATGGAGATGACCCAGATCAATGCTGCTTTGAGGCAAATCTTCATCAGGGCATGAGACGCCTGGATATCCATGGGTCGGACGATGGCTTTGTACCTGGGGCAGAAAAGAGGGAATGTCCTGTGTAAGTTGCCTAATATTAAGATGGATACCAGAGCCAGGGCTGGGGTGAGGCAAATAAGGCAACTGGGGTGCAATATTTAAGGAGGTGCTCACTATTAGGTTCATGCAAGTGCTGACTGAGCTCACAAAACCTTGAAAGTGAGTACCTCCTCAGATGTTGCACCCCAATTACCTCGCTCACCTTATCCCAGTTCTGGCCATGAAGGATGCCATTCACTTTCTCCGTAGTAATGTTCTGCCCACATTCTCTCTTGATTTTAAGAATACTTCTCAGAAAAACTGAAGCTCCCTTCATTTTTCTTCTTAAATTATAATAACAAAGCACATATAAAGAAGGACACAGGGACAAGAAGGTGTTTCTGTTTGTTGTTTGGTTTTGGTTTTTTGGCAAAGCCTTCATTTTGAGTATTCAAATGCAGTCTGAAGGACCATACGTCACTGAATATTTATATATGCCTTTTCTTTTCTTCAAAGGATACAGAACGAATAGTCTGCTGGAAAAGTTATACACAGGAGCACCCCTGTAATTATCAAATTAATCTCTCCCCTTCTTTCCTACTTTCTTTCAACCTCATCTTCTCTTGCAGTATTTCGGTCCTTCCTGGTTCCTGTCTTGGGTCAAGTGCTCTGGGAAGCAGACACTGCGATGAAGCCAGGAGGACAAAATGATTATTGAGGAGTAATATCTGTGAGAGGAAACAGGGAAGGAAGCAGGATTGAGCAGAGGGTGTTGTCAAACCCTGATGCAGACGTGATGTGTACACCAGTGAAAGTGACCAACCATCTTAGTTTACCTGAAAACATCCCATTTTAGCACTGAAAGTCCTATGTCCTAGGAAACCTCTCAGTCCCAGCAAACTGGGACTGCTGATCACCCTACACCAGCTCAATGGGAAGCTTGGGAGCAAAGATTACCTAGTGGAAGAGTCCTGTCTTGGGTGGAAATGGCCAGGCCCTTGGATCACCACCTTGTTGAGTCATTGGCTGGGGCCACCCAAAAAGAGTATGACATCATTTACTACCTGGTTCAGTCAATGGGCAGGAACTGCCCAAGAAGAGCATGAGCATAGCTCGAAAGCCGAAGTGGACCCTGAAGGAGCTGACAGCTGGAGGCTGTCAGCTAACCACATTCCCCCAGTTGGACAGTTAGTCTTTTCCTCCAGGGAGGTCTGAGCCGAGCACCTCCATGTCTGCCACAGCTCTCCATACATCGCCTCATACAGCAGGCTGCACACCTCTTTTGTGTGCGCTTGTCTGAGAACCCACTAGAAGATTTGCTCCTGGCGGGCAAAGAGTGTGTCTTTTTCCATCTTGGCATGTGCCAGCGCTGTGATTTGCACACACTCCACAAACGTTTGTTCAATTGAAGATGAATTGCTATAGTGTGGAAACTGATATAAGTTGGAACCAACTAAGTGTGAGGGTGTTCATTGCTGAAAATGCTGCATTGAAACTGGGCTCTGCCCATGGTACTCTTTTATATCATGGATTTCAGTGATGGAGGAACACTTATTTGTGCTTGTTTCCATGTTGATTAAATCTCCATTGAGTTACTACTTTTGGCTGTACCCTGAATCCTCATTCGCTTTCCTTCTTCCTCCAGGGAAAACGGGGGAGGGATAACTTATTAAGTGGTGAGTTTGGGAAGAAGAATCAGCCATGTGCATTGGACTCAGAGAGGCCTATGGTTGCCTAACTGTCTCTGACTGGGAGAATGGCACATCTAATACAATAGGAGATCAGAGTGTCTGCAGTTTGATTATTGCTGTGGACCTACATCAAATTCTCCAAACAGCTTTATCAGATATAGAAGCAATTAATTTTATTGTTGTCTGTCTGATCTCTTTGTCTAGCTCTCTGTTCCCACCTCAGGTAGGGAAGAGAAGGCTAGTATTTATCGGACATCACTAGCACTCCAGAACAACACCGTAGTTCTGCTTTGGTCTACCTGGGTTTGCTTTCCACCCACAATTTGTAATAGTTCACTTTAAACAATTAGAGAAAACATAAAAATTTCAAAGGAACTTCTGTTTTCTTCTGGCATTTCCTCTAGTCACTAGTCCTTTAAAACATTTATATTCCTAGTTTAGAACGCAGGCAAGGAATTAATATCTTTAATTAAAGGTATGTAAAAAATCTTCAGCCAGAGATGTATATATATGACTAAAGATATCTCTAGTAAGTTGATTAGAGATAAAGTGGTAATCATGACTTCTATCTGCATTTCCTGGCAGATAGCAGTCATAACTACCATTAACTCTCCAAGTGAAGGTGATTCACTCATGCATGAGTCAGACACCAGAGTGAAGTCTTACCTCCTTCTCTCTTGGGAATCTTGTATTCCTAAATGCAAAATGCCATAGGAACTACTGAGCTGCTGTTTCAAATTCACAAGTTTTAAAGCATAAAAGATAATATAGAACCATTTTTTATAATTTTGCCAGAAAAATAATTTGAATCTAAGCCTAATTAAGCCTCTAGATCTACGTACCTGTTTTCAGGAAAAGTGAGGATAGAAGAACTTGCTAAATGATGCCGTGAAGATACAAATCCTGAATTGGAATATTCTACAGAAATAATGACTTCATTTTTTTTCAACAAATATTTGGCATACAAAAGCAGGGAGAATGGCTAAGGACCAACTGAGATGTGTAACACATATCAATCAAGTGCAACATATATACTCCTTTTGGATTTTGATTCAAACTAAACAACCATAAAAATATTTTTGAGACCGCTGAGGAAAATCAAACATAGATTTAGTACTGGTGATATATCAAATAGTCATTTTTTAATGTATTGGGTGTGATAATGTATTGTGGTTGTGTTTTTAAAAGGCTTTATTTATTAAAAACCTACCCTAAAATATTTACCA